CTGATGAAGGACTAGAGGATGACCAACACAACCCGTGCAGCAGCAGATGAGCTATCGTCTCTGACTTTACATCTACAAGCTGGACTGACAAGGTAGGAGTGTCTAACAGAGTGGACAGTGAGTGGACACAGTGTTTAAAGAAAACTGTTCAACAGCAGCTAATAAACACATTTGGGGGCGGAGCCTGGGTAGGACAGGCACTCAGCTTTACTGAAGACCCAATTCATAATTAGTTGGGCAGAGATAAATGGTCAGAGTTGGCTCTCTGCGCTTTTTGTGTTCACCTGCCATGCAGATAATAATGTCCACTAAACTGCGAAGCTAACTGAGCAGCAAATCACTGGCTAAGTGCTTCTCATTCATCTCTATCAGCTCAATGGAATGAGATTAGAAGAGATGCTGCCACCTGGCCAGACTATTCAATTACTATGAGATGTGATATTTAACACTTTCATATCTCCCTAAAACGCAAGGCCACAGCACACATGGCAGGTACACTGCACCAATCTTAAAGGGCCCACATCCTACGCTTTGAGGGTTTATCTACCAAAAATAGTAATAATATATTTTTATGACCATTTTCCAAACTCTCTGTATCCCTTACAATTAAATAGGCTGTTCTCGTTACTGTGCCTTTAAGACTGATATGTAAATGAGCTCTGTTCTGATTGGCTGCCCTGTATTGTGCCTCATTCAAAGGGCAGTCCGGATTAAAACACTCCTTATAACTTCAGTGTGAGTGGGCGGAGCTAAACTGCTCACTCTGAAAGGGCAGATATATGCAATTGCACTGGCTTTTGTGACATCACAAATACGGTCAATCCAAAACGGGCTGTTACTGCAGCCTAGCTGACGTGTTTGTGACATCACAAATACGGTCAATTCAAACCGGCTGTTACTGCAGCCTAGCTGACGCGTTTGTGACATCACAAGTACGGCCAATCCAAAACGGGCTGTTCTTGCAGCCTAGCTGACGCGTTTGGACTGCATGGAAAGGAGAACGAACAGTGTTTTGAACTTTTTATAATGGTGCTACATGAAACTTTTGAATTTTAACCTCTTATTCTCCAGGCTATATTTTGGTTTGTCCATCTGAATTTACATGACCAAATCGTAAGGCAAATTATTCAGTAACTGCATAAAATATAAATGTAAAATTTTATTTTATTTATTTATTTATTTATTTTAAAAGCTCCCCTCAAATTAACAGAAAATGTGTTTTATGATCACACATATTGCTATATGTGTGATCATAAAACATAGTTTATAGCCCAGATTTGTGGAAAAATGGGTCGACTTTCAGTAGACAAAAAAAAATGTTCCGCTTCTTTTATTATAAGGGTTTGAAATTACATCACCCATCTATTTGACTGGATAGAAGACAGTTACAGCTCCCATACGACCCCCACCTTTAGAATGTAGCTTATGAAATATGAAAGTTATGAAGAATATGATGAAGTGCGTTTTGGAACCACCGGTGGTCTCAAGGAGTTGAAGAGTTTAAAAAACACTTGGTTTTATGGGCCCTTTAAAGAAAAAATGCAAATGAACAACCAGTTCGTTTGGTAGTACATAGCAATGTTAAGCATTTGAAGGAATTCAGACAACTGACGCACAAGGTGATCCGCTCTATTGTTTACAATAAATAACCACTTTCCATCTTTCAGTACAGGAAGCCCACGTCAACACAGCACAGCACACTGTAGAAACAGAGCATAAAGCACTGTGACAGGGTGATTGTCTCTTGTTGGGTTTGCGCAGTTATTCACGGACTGCACTGTTCAAGAAGTCTGAGACAAAAAAGTGTCAAGTTCCGGTGTTTCTGACATGTGAGCTCATGGAAAATACACTGAATTCACTCCTTTAACGTCCTGCCCAGTGAGCTGAGAAGTTGGTTGAGGTTTTCAACCAGTGGCGTCTCTGCCACAGAAAACCTGGTGGGGCGCAATAAACTGTAGGGGCAGCAGCGACTCGTCAAAGAAACTACACACAAACCTGAATCAAACACAAACGCACTCCATCAGTGAAATCACACATTCACAAATTAACATAACGTGCAGGAGTTGGTGGCAGTGGAGACAGGAATATGAGTGATATAACAACATTAGATCTCACAAAACCTGATTATACAGCATCGCATTACAAACCCAAAGTTATCTAGCAGTTTACGATGATCACTGTGGTCTGCAAACACACATCCAAAGAAACTTATCAGAGCAGGGAAACAAGCTTTCCGGGCTTTAGGAATAACACAGCCTGTAATAATACAGAATGACTCACCGTGACGGTCACTGCTCGAAAAGAAAAGATTCACGATGATCTTTCATCTGGGCAAACTTGTCAAAAACCTTTCTCTCAAACTCCACCAATCCATGAATGAATTCAAGTGATAGCACAGCAAGAGCAGGCAAGGAAATCAGAGGAGTGTTTTAGCTGCACTCACAGTTAGCCATGTTTTTCTCTTGAACCTCTCTGGACTAAAGGAGCAGTTTTTGTCCTTTCCAGACTGAATGGTGATGAAATCCTCTGGCTGGTGTGTCCCAAACGTTTAACCTCTCATTTCTGCTCTAATGGCTGGAACCAAATTTAACTATTATTACGTTTTCGACTCGACTCATTATATTGCCTTGCTATTATGAATGGCTACCACAACTGATGAGGAACAGTGGCTGGCTGCGTAGCGACGCCCACACCGTAAACAAAGTTTACTAAATGTCTGGACGTATGTAAATGTGTTATTTTTTTATTGGCTGCTCTCAGCATGAGGCCAGCATGATCGGGCCCACAGCTGGTTATTGAAAGCGTGTTGAATATGCGCAGTGTTGTTTTAACTGTTCACTTGGTTAGACGAGCGCTGACGGGCCCACGCTCACCAAACAAAGACCGCTAGGAGAAACAGGTCACCTACTGCCATTTACACAACAGGTACAGGAAGATATTTGGAATGTATCGCACAGACCAACCACTCTCATATGTAATAAACGTGCAACAGTGTTAGTTACGAAAAAAAAAAAAATAAATAAATATATATATATATATATACACATACACATATTAGTTGTTATACTGAATTATTGATCATGTCGTGCACTGCTCCACAGCGACATCTGGTGGTTCCAGGCCCCACCGGCCCCTAATGCAGAGATGCCACTGTTTTCAACACATCCAGCACATGCACAGGATGCCACGACTCTACAAAACCCTACTACAGTCAAGTTTAAAAAATATCATCCAAATGAAGAGAGTTTGCGATTATAATGAACCTTAATAAGCACTAACAGCAGCATCCTAAAGCATTTTTTGATTTGATGCCTTTCATTCATTTTTACATAACCTCTCTCAACCTCTTAATCTCTTAGACCTAAACAGGTTGTTTTAATCACTGCGCCTTTATATGTATCCTTTACACGTATTCGGACCATATATTTAAACCCAAGATATTATTCTTTAATCATCATTTATAAAGATCTATTAGTTTTTATTGAAAGTGAAGTTAATAGATTTAGATTTATCATGAGTTTATTTTTTTAATTAAAAAAAAAATACTCAAAAAAATGCTGTCCTAAATTTTCATGTCACCACCGAAGCACTGCAGCCAATAGGCGAGGTCTTATTTTAGCCACACTCCTGCATTTTATAGCAGGAAGTGAGGCTGCATCCCTGTCCCTCATGGCCACATGGTGAGCAGTTAGATCCCAATGATTTGAGGTAAATGTGTCCCAAAGTCTGAAAGTCAGTGTGGAACATTAAGAATTGTCACTACAGAAACACAGATTTTGTGCAGTTGAGTGAACATTTTTGTGTTTTAATGATAAATATGATGATTTTATGTGTGAACAGCTGTTCAAAGCTGTGTTTGTTAGTCATGTACTGGGTTTTTGAGCTCAAATTAAGCTAAAATTGTCACTATCGAAACAGTCACTGCTGAAACATTTGGTAAAGCTTGGTAAAGTTATTATTGTTTTGGTAGTGACAAACAAGGAATGTTCAATCATTTGTCATTTGTTTCAATAATATATGTGTGTGTGTGTGTGTGTGTGTGTATATATATATATAAATATGTGTGTGTGTGTATATATATATATATAAATATGTGTGTGTGTGTGTGTGTGTGTGTGTATATATATATATAAATATGTGTGTGTGTGTGTGTATATATATATATATATATATACACACACACACACACACACACACACACATATGTATATATTCAAATCAGAATCATCCCTACATGGTCTACAGAGCTCTGTTCTGATTGGCTGCCCTATTTTGTGGTTTGTTTGAAAAGCTATCCTGGTTGAAACACTCCACATAACTTCACTGTGAATGGGCGGGGCTAAACTGATGGAGGCAGGATAGACGGGTATGTCTAAAGGCATTTGTGACGTCACAAAAAAAATCTAATTCAAGTGAATTCAAAACAGGCAGGTTTTTTGCAGCTTAATTTCAATGTATGGACTGTATGGAGTGTGAACCAAACCACAGATGTAGAAACTTCATCAAACTCTTCAAAAGCCTTGATATGGGCCCTTTAAACTTAACATAATTGGTATTAAACAGTGATAAATAGCAAAAGGTTAAGTAGTACAGCTGCTATGCGCTGGAAGACAGAGACTAAAAGGGTTTACCAGCCTCAGCTCTAATGAAAGGCATCATAAAGGAGCATTAAAGGCGTCTTGACAAACAAAACTCATTGAATTATTACAAAAACGTACAAATATAACGTTTAATCCAACAGAGAGAGTCTCAGTGTCTCTCTGCGCTCAGTCAGTGAAGGTGACCTACAGAGTTTTACGCACTTTAACCCTTTATAAACCAATATAACGCCTTATAAACACGATTCTCTGTTATAAATGAAGTAGAAGTGAACGCAACGCTGCATATAAGCGCACTGAACGGAAACACTTCAACTCCATGGAGCTGAAACCTCAGTCTGGAGAGTTTGGAGACTTCTCGGCCAAAGAGAGGAGGAGTTGGCAAAACTGGGCCAAACTTACCGGCATCATGACTGCAGGCTGTCCGAGCGGGTCCAAACGGGGCGATCCAGGCTTGTTCCCTCTCGCTGGGACGGCAGACAGACGGGATGTTTGGTTTTTAATGTTTTTAATGTCTCCTTGGTCAGCGTCTCAGCGCAGGGTGGTACAGGACGGGTCAGGATGCTCAGGCTCAGCAAAGCCACCGAGCTCAAGTGGGTCAGACACGTGAGAACAGCGGCCAATCCAGCTGAGAGCGCTTTGGTTTAGGATCGAGCCGTTTCAGCCTCCACTCCTCATCCTCCTCCACTGAAACCACTTCTGCTGAACTGAGACGCCTAGTGGTCAAGATGAGGAACCGCAGTTTGGATCTCCTGTTCATACAGTGTCAGTTCATACAGAGAGTCTGAGATAATGACATTCAGACAGCTATTGATCTGGCCAGCAAGTGTAAAGACACTAATAAACACATAATATTGATGCAATAAGATATTTTAATATATATTTTATAAATTAAAAACACCTTTATTAGAAACACCTACCTTGGGTTTCCACTAACTGGCCACTTTATCAGAAACACCTGCCTTGTGCTTCCACTCACTGGCCACTTTAATAGAAACACCTACCTTGTGCTTCCACTAACTGGCCACTTTATTAGAAACACCTACCTTGTGCTTCCACTAACTGGCCACTTTATTAGAAACACCTACCTTGTGCTTCCACTCACTGGCCACTTTATTAGAAACACCTACCTTGTGCTTCCACTCACTGGCCATTTTATTAGAAACACCTACCTTGTGCTTCCACTAACTGGCCACTTTAATAGAAACACCTACCTTGTGCTTCCACTCACTGGCCACTTTATTAGAAACACCTGCCTGTTTCCACTCACTGGCCATTTTATTAGAAACACCTGCCTTGTGCTTCCACTCACTGTCCACTTTATTAGAAAAACCTACCCTGTGCTTCCAGTCACTGGCCACTTTATTAGAAATACCTACCCTGTGCTTCCAGTCACTGGCCACTTTATTAGAAATACCTACCCTATGCTTCCAGTCACTGGCCACTTTATTAGAAATACCTACCCTGTGCTTCCACTCACTGTCCACTTTATTAGAAATACCTACCTTATGCTTCCAGTCACTGGCCACTTTATTAGAAATACCTACCCTATGCTTCCACTCACTGGCCACTTTATTAGAAACACCTGCCTGTTTCCACTCACTGGCCATTTTATTAGAAACACCTGCCTTGTGCTTCCACTCACTGTCCACTTTATTAGAAAAACCTACCCTGTGCTTCCAGTCACTGGCCACTTTATTAGAAATACCTACCCTATGCTTCCACTCACTGGCCACTTTATTAGAAATACCTACCCTGTGCTTCCAGTCACTGGCCACTTTATTAGAAATACCTACCCTATGCTTCCAGTCACTGGCCACTTTATTAGAAATACCTACCCTGTGCTTCCAGTCACTGGCCACTTTACTGGAAAAAAAAACACCTTTTAGCTCCACTATTTTGGTGTACAATTACTGACTGTTGTTACAGAATGCATCATTCATACATTCATTCATCATTGTTCAGTTTCTCACTACAGGACTGTGTAAATGCTGAATATGCAGCCTGACAGATTTACTGATACCCCTAACAAAGACAAGCAAAAGGGCTGTATTTGTATTGTTTATAAATTCAAGGTTGTGCGAACCATTAAACTGAACCACTTGGCCAGGTTCGTTAACTGTGACGGTTTTGAGAAAATCTTTAACATACATTTTCTTTTTCTTTGAATAATTTTAACTCCCTGGAATAATTATATAATTTTTTTCATAGCTTTTATTGTGCACCTTTAGCAACAGCGCTAGCAATTCTGAAGAGGACTGTATGCATTAGTTTTTCCATCCATCCATCTTTCTCCCTCTTTCTGTGGACTGCTGGCTTTACTGTATGGCACTACTGAACTGCTCTACATGTTAATCCACATCCTGATTACTCTATATAAGTTGTCACCACACACTAGAATCAGCTGCCAGTAGTTTGTTTGGATAAACTCATTTTTAAGTATTTTTACATCTATCCAAATAAACAATGTCTGAAATAACAACTTCTAACTTGGAACGTATTTTCGCTAGACTGAGAAATCTGTAGAGCATCAAAAATGATAAATCCGTATTACTTTTTAACTGCACTGTTTGTTTTATGTTTTATAGTGTTTTCACCAAAGCAAACACACTTATTGGCCAGATGTACAGCACAGTACTATATCATATAAAAATACTTCAAATATATGAAACTCCTGCGTACTAGAATCCAAAATGCAGTTACTTTGTGTTTCCAGCACCAAATAATCATGAAATAGTCAACAAAGATTTGCAAACTCAAAAGAATGTTGCTTATTCTTCCAATGTTTAACGTATCCTAATGTACCAACACATGCAGATTAGACTTAACATCAATATTAATGGTTATATGCAAAAGTTTGATCATGGACCCTGGTCCATTTTAACACATCCTCTATGGAGAAAACATTTAAATATGGCAATTTTCTGCAAATTTAGTGCACAATTCACAATTTCTCTTGTAACTAGTGTGGGGAACTACGAGACAGGTATTTCTAATAAAGTAGCCAGTGAGATGAAGCAATGGGGTAGGTGTTTCTAATAAAGTGGCCAGTGAGATGAAGCAATGGGTTAGGTGTTTCTAATAAAGTGGCCAGTTAGTGGCAGCACAAGGTAGGTGTTTCTAATAAAGTGGCCAGTGAGTGGTAGCACAGGGTAGGTGTTTCTAATAAAGTGGCCAGTGAGTGGAAGCACAAGGTAGGTGTTTCTAATAAAGTGGACAGTGAGTGGGAGCACAAGGTAGGCGTTTCTAATAAAGTGGCCAGTGAGTGGAAGCACAAGGTAGGTGTTTCTAATAAAGTGGCCAGTGAGTGGAAGCACAAGGTAGGTGTTTCTAATAAAGTGGCCAGTGAGTGGAAGCACAGGGTAGGTGTTTCTAATAAAGTGGCCAGTGAGTGGAAGCACAAGGTAGGTGTTTCTAATAAAGTGGACAGTGAGTGGGAGCACAAGGTAGGTGTTTCTAACAAACTGGCCAGTGAGTGGAAGCACAAGGTAGGTGTTTCTAATAAAGTGGCCAGTGAGTGGAAGCACAAGGTAGGTGTTTCTAATAAAGTGGCCAGTGAGTGGAAGTACAAGGTAGGTGTTTCTAATAAAGTGGCCAGTGAGTGGAAGCACAAGGCAGGTGTTTCTAATAAACTGGCTAGTTAGTGAAAGCACAAGGTAGGTGTTTTGAATACACTGGCCAGTGTACTTAATTTTCACCCTAAATATCAACTTGCAAACATGTAATTTGAGCTTCGGCACCCAAACATTTTCATACAACTCTAACTACTTAAAGGTGCAACTGCTTAGAAACCTAACTCTTAGTGCTTTACTTCTCTTTTATCAATCATGCATTTCGTTTCCGTCTGATTTCAACAGTTATTCCAGAAAACACAACACAAAGAGCAAATTAATGATGTACATCTTTATTTCAACTTGACCACTTATCAGTCATCCAGAGGTGTCTTCAAATGGGATAGTACTGAACTGAATTACTCTGACTGCTCGATAAACGCTGAACTGGAATGTTCCATCTCTACCACAGGTGAGTACGTACCACTACAGAGACAGCTGCTGCTGCTGTTTGGGATCTGTGCTCATGTAACCTTGATGACGGACCGGCTGTACAGAAAAAAAAAAGGTTCCATTCACAAGCATCCATTTCCCAGACACAAGATAGAGTTACTGTTTTATTGTAAACGACACTGGAAATGGGGCGGCTCTGTTGGAAAGACTTTGCCTTTGTGTGTTTGCAGATTTTGGAGCTGCACTGTGCGCAGCTTTTTGTTGCTTCAGGCCAAACTGAATTATTTATTCACTCAATCAGTGTTGTAAGAAAACTGCAAACTTGGTTTGTGCTGTATGTTTTTCTTGTATGCCCACATGGTTACTATATGGCTATACATACGTAACAATTCAAAAACACATCCAAATGCTGGTAATATGGATACTAATTATCCAGTGTGTGTGCTTGGCACAGTAATACAGCAAAAAAAATCAAATAGCACAGAGTAAATTTACTTTTTCAATAATAACTGCTATTATTTTCAATTATCCTTTGGATAAACTGTCCTACTGGACGCAGCAGTTTTGGCCATTGGCATCCTTGAAGCGCAGGCGCATCTTGGGTTTGTACTTTTCAAGGTACATCAGCTGTTTGGAGTTGAAGGCTCCACGCCTCTTTCTGCAATGAGAGAAGATATTGCAGTTTATAAAGCCTGCGGAACGTCAGATAATCCATGTAATGTTGTGAAAACATAAATATGTTCGAGCAGTATCCACAAGAAAACCTTGAATCTCCAAAATGGTAACTTTACAGGAGAAGGAAAAAACCTACTCTACTTTTAATGTAAGTCAATGGAACCAGAATTTTGTCGCGAATCTTAGCGCGATAAACTGAAAGCTAAGAATACTGTGAGAGCGCCCCCTGCTGTTTATCAGAGTCGCCGCTCCACAGTTTCAGTCTCCATTTCCCAAACGCTTTAGCCGAGCGCGCTAACGTTACTCCCCCTAATAAACAGACACACGTTCAGCTCCGTCTCCTCATTATTCACCACCATCACTGTAATATTTCATCAACATTAACACACGAAGGTAATCGGAGGGGCGGTGGAGATCGAGTCTGCAGCGTCTGGGCTTTTAAACGCTGTTAGAAAAAGAAAAAAAAACTCAGTCAAAGCTCAGTTTTCAGTGTAGATAAATGTAGCATCGTTATACTACTTATTGTGAATTGTGCTGCGTATCACTGCATAGAACAATAGAATCAGACGATTAAAACAGAAGTTAAGACCCTCTGGGGTTTATCTTAAAGTTAAGAAAATATTTAGGATATTTCGGCAACTTAGGCTGTTTCTGTAAAACCGTTTTCTAATCTGGAAATAAGGTAAGATTACAGACTTAAGAACTGTTGTTCTGCAGTGGCTTCAGTCTTAACTGAAGTTGCCATGACAACAAAGCAGATCTCAGACTTAGGAATTTTCTGTAATACGGCCCCAGCTCTGCTCACCACAGAACAGGCCGGACTCTATAATAATAAACACTGATGTCTGAGAGAGTAAAAACAGGAGTGACTGGTGTTGGAATGACAGAAAGCCCAAATCGAACCTGGGACTGTAGCATTTTGGCTAAGCTAATGAGCGCTTAGTTAGCACAACAAAGCTAACGATAGCTTAGTTGGATAGCTTAGTTGGTTAGTCCAGCTAACTGATGCTAAAATGGCCCCTCTTTAGAGGAAAACTAAGGCCGCTTTTCCACTAAAGAGCCAAATGGTTCTCAGGGCTGTACTGGGCCGTTCTGCGCTGGTCCGGACTCGTGAGACCGGTTATGGTTTCTTTTTCCATCTGTTGTGCCACTAAATCAAAACCAGGAGATACCCAAGAAACCTACACAAACGAGTGGCTAACTGCTAACAGCCATGCACACACCACCCACCACAGAACATGTTTGATTCCGTCAGTCACTCCAACTCCAGTCTCTCGGCGTGCTCTCTTCTTCTTTATCCTCTAACCTATTCAACTCCTTGAGACCACCAGTGGTTCCAAAACGCACTTCGTCAAATTCTTCATAACTTTCATATTTCATAAGCTACATTCTAAAGGTGGGGGTCGTATGAGAGCTGTAACTGTCTTCTTTCCAGTCAAACAGATGGGTGATGTAATTTTAAACCCTTATAATAAAAGAAGCTGAACCCTTTTTTTTTTGTCTACTGAAAGTCGACCCATTTTTCCACAAATCTGGGCTATAAACTATAAACAGATGGCGTCTCTTCAGTGATCTGCTCATATGCTTTCAAAGAGGGGGGCAATTATTTATTATCACCCACCCCTAATTCTTCAGTGATATGAAGCTGAAGTCAGATATTCACCAGCTTCTTGTTAGAATTTCCCCGTTCCACCTTAAATGGTGCAGCAGTTACATTCTGCCGCTTCAGGCGTCAGAACTGCTGGACTATTTAAGGTGGAACGGGAAAGTTAGCTAGCTAGCTTCCGAAACATCAGCATGCTATTGGCGATTTTTTATGCTTGTTATGAAGAAAACGACCAAAATACACTGAAACGACATTAAACTAAGATAAAACAGTGGTTACTGTAATTTTTGAACAGAGAAAATTCTCACGTGTGTTTCTTTGGTCTCTTGTTCAGCCATTTTGCCAGTTTTTCTTTTTTTTTCTCATATCTCTCTGTTTGGAATCTCTGAAAAACCTCAGTTTGGAGGGCCATATAGCCCCAACACTTCGCCCTACCCCTCTATCTCAACAAGAATTTGGACAACCTAACCCTAGACGTGAATGCGCAAAACAGAGGGCTAAGGGCTCAGTGGTAGGGGCGAGGGGTGAAATGGGACTGGGCCTTGGGCCTCGGGGTCTTGTTCACGAGTGATGGGAAGAGGGATGGTGAGATCGGTCGCAGGCTGGGACAGATGGCAGCAGTAATATAGTCACTGTACTGGACTGTAGTGGTGAAAAGGGAGCAGAGCCATGAGGCAAAGCTCTCCGTTTACCCATTAGGCTACATCCCAACCCTCACCTGTAGTCATGAGCTTCAGGTAATGACCAAAAGAATGAGATTGTGGATACAAGCGGCGGAAATGAACTTTCTTCACAGGGTGGCAGCTACACTCTGCTTGACGGGGTGGGGAGCTCAGTCATCGGGGAGGAGCTCGGAGTAGAGCCGCTACTCCTCCGCATTGAGAGGAGCCAGTTGAGGTGGTTCGGGCATCTGATCAAGATGCACCCTGGCTGCCTCCCGGTGGGGGTTTACCAGGCACGGCCTACTGGGACGAGACCCTGAGGTCGTCCTAGGACCCTGATGGAGGGAATATATCTCGAAGTTGGCCTCGGAGCGGCTCGGGTGCCCCAACAATGAGCTCGAGGAAGTTGCAGGGGACAGGGCTGACTGGGATTCTCTGCTCTCCCAACTGCTACCAAGACCCTATTTGGACTAAGTGGTTTAAGAAGATGGTGATGATGACGACGATGATGATTTATCCTTTATTACTGTTAGACCACCCGACCCTGAAAAGAACTGGTATGGCATTTGTATTGTTACAGGACTTACTGTCGAATAAACTGAACAGCATCTTCATACATCATCCCACACTCAATTAAGGCTATGGCCACCAACACAGGAGCCCTGAAGAGAAAAATAAGTGCAGTATATAAACCACTGCTGTGCTGTATTTCAATTATATCACAGTATAAGATGACATTTAAGTGTGCATGAACTAAGTTAATGAGCGCTTCTACTACTAAAACGTCTTACAATTCTAACATAGCCTGTTCTGATAGGACTTTTTGGGGAATTCCACTAAAATTTGTTTCCAACACAAGCACAACCATTTTATTTACTATGCAAAACAACGAGTGAACCTAAATATCTACTGAAAGCTGATGATGGTAAAATAGTGATGAATCTGAAACAAATAAGTTTTGTTTGGGTCCTATTTTGCCTCACACCTTGCATGTATCCCTCCACCATAAACTGATTTAAAAAGAAACACGACATTTTAGGCTAAAACCTTCTCAGATATCAGGCAGCGTATTTATAATAAATTCATGTAATAACTTTCTGTGAGGGAGCTTTTAGAGGTGGACGTCTGGTTCCTATCACCACCACTGTGAACGATTCTGACTCTGTAAGATTCTCTAGAACAGGTCATTTTACACCAAACCACTCTGAATGACTTTCAACCATCTATTTATAGGGATCATTTAAAAATAGTAATAAAAAATAATATATTGTATTAATAAATTGCTTTTTTAATATACTGTGAACTGTTCTTTCACAACAATTTGATAGACTCAGAAAATAACATGTATTTTCTGTCATCTACTAATGCTGCTAAAACTGAAAATCAATATTGTTGTGCGACACAGATACCAGCGTAGACGATGCATCTCACACCAGTGATTTGAACGATAATCAATACACTGTCCATGAGACTTGTTGTGCTGCAACAAAACTTGCTGGCACATGATTTTTTTTTATAATTTAACATTTACATTACATTTGTGTTTTCAATAAAAAGAGGAAAAGGTTATTGTAGTTCAGACTTCAGTTACCAGTCGCTGAGATTTGTACAAAAAAAGGATAATATATAAAAAAACATTAATATTTCACGTTACTCACCGTCCCAGTCCTGCAACACAGTGTACTGCAATGCAACAACCTGGCTCATCTTTAAATTTACATTTCAGCAGGTTCAGCCAGTCATCCACAATTTGGTCAGGGGGTGAAGAACCATCATCAAAAGGCCAATCCTTGGGAAAGAAAAAAAAAATAAAGAGCAAATAGAAAATTTTCAATATTGTGCAAAAGGTCACATTTTGTTTAATGTGGCCAACCAAACAGCAGCCATAACCTCCAATCCTCATTTAGTGAGGTAAACCGAAAGAAGTATCATTACTGAGTCTGGAAGATAAAAACAGGCTAAAATATGGTGAGCGTGCGCTGCTGCGAGTCGCCCTGTAAAGCATTTAATAACCATTTAAAAGTCAGAAGCGTCGGTTCGAGAGTTTTTCACAGCATGTCATACGTCTTTATGTATTAACGTCACACACACAGACTCAAAAAGAAGGTCCGGCTCAATGTTTAGGTCTCAAGTTTTGACTGAGTTCTCTTTGAATTCTCTTTCAATTATGAGATTCATCCACTAAGGGAAGGGGGGCGAAACACAACCCATGCAACTACACATTTCCAAAGAAGAGGTCTCAAAATCTCCACAATAGTTCAGGTTTAAACAACTACTGATTGTTCTTTTTTATTTTAGTCACAAAATATACAGCGTAGATAAAAATCAATATACAACTGCATCTGCCACTGTACCAAATTACATTATACAAACTATCTGTCCAAAAGAATCCAGATGTTGCTTCTAATGAGTGAATTCAGTGACTTTAAGGTCACCCATTGCTGATACAGACGTTCAACTGCTGACAAGAAGCTTGTATAATCTCCATAAAAAAGCACTGACTGAGATCCCACTGATTGGGATGCTCTGTCCAAAGCCAAGTCTGGGCTAGAGGGGTATAAAGCCCCCCAGCACTGGTCTGTGGAGCAGCGTAACTGGATGGAGCTCCATCCAATACCTTTGGGATGAGCTGGAGTGATCCAGAACTGACCATCCAACATCAGTACCTGACCTCACTAACGCTCAGTCAAATCCTCACAGCAATGTTCCAACATCTAGTGGACTGCAAACCCTTGGATGAACAATTTAGACCTGTTCGTTGTCTCACTGGCCTACCATACACTATACCCTTCAGCCTCCCAACATAAAAACTTTGGGCACCCTAGCACTAAATTACTAAACCTACTTTCAAAAAATATATATATTAACCCTGTATGTCTCATGCTGGGACTTCAGTGAAGTTAACTAGAAAAGAAATGAAGAACACACATACGACTTCTTACCAAAACTTCAATGCCCTCCTTCTCCACGGGCGCCTTGTCGTAGGTGGCCTCACAAACCCTAACCAGTGTCTGCACCCCAAAAGCTTTCAGCTCCTGGAAGACAGGAATTAAGATTGAAAACATGAGCAAGTACTTATTAGAGGGAGGTTCACACTGTACATGTTTTGCAGATCGACACAATTATTTCTAACTGTTTTCAGTGAGAGAGACACGTTTTACTTGCTGTTTTGTAGGTGCGAATTGTGCACAGTGAACCAGGCACCCTGAATAAAACTTGATGACATCTTTGTTTAAGGAAATTAAATTAGCAAGCATGAAATCTGCCACGGTTGTTTCGCTATGCTGCAGTGCGTCAGGAACTTACTACTGTACCGTATCTATGTACTGTATCAGCTTTGGAGGCAAAAACATTTCATACGTTTGCATTATTATCCTGATTTAGGCTAAAAAGTTAAAGATTAAAGGTTAAATTAAAATTAAAAATTAAATTAAATTATGGTTAAATATGAAATGAAAAATAAGGGTACCTCATTTTAAAATCCTCAATTTAATCGTCTGCTAACAACTAACAAACTTGATATATTTGCATATGTAAAGCTTCGAGGGGTAAATTCATACTTTCTTTAAATGTTTAGATTTTACAACTTTGTTGCACTAAAAAGTTTACATTGAAATTATAATTACTGTTTATTTTGGTGTTGCCTTATCCAGAAGCATATTAATAAGGTTGTAATACCTCGTTCTTGGTTTTCTTTCTTATGAACATTCTTATGTTTTCATTTTTATTGCTCTTTTGCTCTAGTTACAGCCTTGTTAGACGCAGTAAGGTATACAGAATTTAAAATAAAATTCTGGGTATCGGCCAATACCCAGAGTTCAGGCAACAGAATCAGTACTGAGAAAAACTGGGTTGCATCTCTAGTTAACAGCAGTGCGAAGCCCCCTTAACGCGTAATTTTGCATTGAATAGCCCAAAATCAGGTATATTAGGAGCGGCTCATATCTTACCTCAGTAAACTTGGCCAGCTGTGAATTGGTGGGGTTGTGGGTGATGAGAAACCTCATGCACTCGTAGGTGATTTCGACAGGAGCAGGACGATTCATCTTCACACACAAAGGGAGGTTTAATACTCTTTGACCAAAAAAAAAAAACAACTTTCAAGGTGTAGTTTTAAAAAAAAAGTTTTCAAAATATGGGTAGAATTTGATTTTCGGTCAATTTAAAGGGAAATTCCAAAAGCAAATGGGAAAAAAGGAAACCACTCTCAAGACAGACTGCTCTATTTAAAAAAACTAAAAAACAAAAGAAGGGGGGCTATCCTTCAGATTTTCAATTTCAATTTAACCCATTCAGGAGAAGAGTGATCATCAGTTGGCGCTTGAGAGAGGAAACAAAAATGGCTCTTTGGCGCCTGAATTGGCTCAGACCGACACATACACTTGAACTTTGGGCAAATACAGCCGCTCTCCCAAAGTTCAGAATGTAAGACGGCAATTGCGTAGCGTAATCTTCATGTGGCAGGCCACCTTTTCACTTGTCCACGATGACCAGGTGCTGTGCCTGGCAGAAGTCTCCACTCACAAACGCCATAAATGGGCAGCCTACGTTGAAAAAGACAAAAGCGGGTCAGGGACGCTGGGACACCACCGACATCACCAGCATAAACCAGATAATCAAAGCTTGACACCATTAACATCACAGGATATTGGATATATCCTAAAGCTAAAGTGAGCCCCGGTTCAAATGCAAAAAGATATTGACATCTTACCCAGGGGCCGGCTGAGCCAGCTGTACACAAGTTCAAATGTAGACTAGTCTTAACGTAAGAGTTTACTATGTTCAGGTTTATGTATTACTGAATCCAAACAAGTTTGCACCACACAAACTAGTTTTAACATTGAGCTTAGCAGTTCTTCTTACGCCTATACCTAAGGAGGTGTAAGTATTAAGGCAGGGGTCAGCAACCTGCGGCTCTGGAGCTGCATGCGGCTTTTTTACTACCCTATGCCGGCTTCACAGATTTATTTTTAGGTAAAAATAAAATAATCCTCCTTTGCAGTAAAATAAAGCTCTGCTGATCGTTCAACACAGTTTAACAATAAATGGTCTTAAACTCTGGAGTTAATGTAGAACTGCTAATTCACCCTTTAACCCTGGAGGTTGGTGCGTAGACGGTTGGTCGCCATAGCAATGCAGACAACAATCTTGCCTAGCTAGTAGCTAACGAAAAGGCAAAGAGAGAGATTTAAGACGAACATTGATAATTTAGAGCTGAATGGACTTATTTGCATTTATAATCACTCCAGATGGTTTCCTGATACGTTTAATCTGCAACGAGAAACTTTCAAACACCAAAATGTCACAAAGCTGACGTCAGTTTCTCATTAAAATTTTTCCGCTCCACCTTAAATGTTGCAGCAGTTACATTCTGGCACCATTTAAGGTGGAATGGGAGAATTCAAACAAGCAGGCGAATGAGAAGCGACTTCTGCCTCGTAAAAAGTTGAACATTGAGAGACATTTTACAAGAAACTGTTCTACTTTTGCAGAAAAGTTTCCTGCCAGAGATGCAAGAAAAACGCCTGTTGCTGAGCTAAAGCGTAAAGCAGAGCAAAGTAAGTCTGCGTTTAGCCTATACTGGGGCATTAATGCATAGTGAGATGTATTTACAGCCTGGTAAAATGGACATAATATGTTGTGGCTCCTAAGGTGGATTGATTTTTGCTGAAAGGACAAAATAGCTCTTCTTAACATTTGGCTTGCCGACCCCTGGATTAGGGAAAACAGTAGTTATACAGGTGGTCAGTTTTAATCAGTTAAACGTGTTCTCTTCTATGCTGGACATTCTGTCCACAGTAGTGGGCTTATAGACTGATTCTGAATGTTGTGTTTTCGTTATACACTCCTGTGCAAAACAAATGAGCCACGCCAAACATACTAATGGCTATTACTGATGGTTTTGGCTGGTCAGAGTCCAGATTTAAACTCTATAGAGAACAATTGGTCACACATTAAACATAAACTAGCTTTGCAATGTTTTTCCGCTGTCTGAAGCCACCAATGTTGAGTGGTACAATACTGACTCTTCTTTCTGTAAAAGACTGTCTGCAAATTTACATACAAGACTTCCAACATTTAAAGAAATCAAAGGGAAAAGTTCTCCTACACTGACGTACCACAACTATTTGTTTAATTCCTGTTAATTTACTGACTAAAATTTTGTTGTTAAGACCATTAAAAGCTTAATATTTTGCCATTTTGATCTTGGCCTATTTTTTGCACAGGAGTGCGTGTTGATGTACACTTTAGATAGCAATTATTAGTAAATACATGACTTATGGATTGGTTGTGCAACCAAATTTAGCCACTCACTAGTGTTATCTACAGTCTTAGTCAAGACTTTATGTAGAAACTTTAGCACAAACTTGCACAAAACCAATATAACCCAGTACTTGTTCATCTCTTTAAACTGGCCTTATTCAATTTATACTGGTTCTCTGTTTAGTTCCACCATGCAATATCTGCAATGTCTGGATTATGACATATAAGGCCTTTAGAGGGGAATTCCACTCATATTTCAAACTTTCTGCATAATTCAATCATTGAGACATAAACGAAGTCATTCAGAGAGGTTTGATGTGAAACGGTTCATTGCAGAGACTCATTTCTTTACAGTGGTGGTGATAGGAACCAGGGGTTGCCATGACTACAACAGAAATATAGACATTTTATTTACTGTCCAAAACCACCAGTGAACCTACACATGTTTTCTGAGTTTTTAAATGTAATGTTAAAGATGGTAAAATTGTGGTAAATCTGGGAAAAAAAAAACATTTTCTTTTGGAACTATTTTGTCTCAAAACACCCTGCATGAATCGCTCCACCATGAATAGATTTTAAAAATAAGTTTAGGGCCAAATGATTCTCAAAACGTTCATAAAACAGTGTCTCACACATCAGGAGGCATCTTCATAATCATTTCATATAATAACTTTCTGTGAGGGATGTTTCTTTTAGAGGTGGACGTCTGGTTCCTATCACCACCACTGTGAATAATTCTGACTCGGTGAACAGAGCATTTCACACCAAACCACTCTGAATGACATCTTAAACAGTTAATTATGCAGAAATCATAATAAATTGGTGGAATTCCCCGTTTCTTTGAGGTAAGCCTATCCAGATCAGGCGGCTCAGCTGGTGGAAGATCATTTTCTCATATAGCTCAAGAGAATATTAAGAATGCAAGGTCAATAAATGTTTTTCAACCCAGATTATAAACCTGTTTGTTTAGGCTAGCAAATGCCTAATGTACTGGGTCTACTCTTTGCAACTGTGCTGTTGTTTAATTCAGATATGGAATATTATTATTTCCTAATGTTCCAAGTGAAAAGCACTTTATGATTTTGCAACTAAAATTAAAAGCGCTACATAATTGAACCCTCGCAGGAGAGCAGCAACCATTTTATGTAATACATTTCTCTGAGGGAGCCTTTAGAAGCATTTAACCCTTCAGACGTTTCACTGTGAACAATTCTGACTCGTATCTGGATGACTTTGTTTACATTTTAACACTCAAATTTATGCAGAATTTTCAATCAGTTAATCAACACAGAGCTAATGAAGAGTTTTAGTATTAACTACAATTTTTTCAACAAATAAGTTGCACTTACTTTCAGTGTGTGTAAAGAAAAGTCGAGATCTCCACATTCTCTATCCTCACCATCCGTCTCTGTCTCTACTGGACATCTGACCAAAGAAACAGCCGCCAGAGTTAATACATTCAGATTAGTAACAATGCAATTACTATCATTTTATCTCTGCAGGAATTGATGGCGTCAGCAATAAAGCATTATTTGAAGAAATAACATCAAAAAAAAATCAAGACTTCAAGCTAATAGGAGCTCATATACCATGTTCTTTTGTTTACATCCTTTCCTTGCACAAAACAGATCATAGATAGCATTAAAGGGGAACTACATCAATTTTTCAAAGTTTCTTAATAATTCAGTGTGTGAGGTGTAAACAGAGAGATTCAGAGTGGTTTGGTGTGAAATGGTTCAGGTTCCTTTACAGTGGTGGTGAAAGGAACCAGGGGTCACCATGACTACAACACAAATATAGACATTTTATTTACTAACCAAAACCACCAGTGAACCTACACGAGTCTTCTGAGCTTTTATACGGAATGTGGATTTTGGCAAAACAATGATCAATCTGAAAAAATAAGTTTTTTTGGGGAACTATTTTATCTCGCAACACCCTGCCTGTATCCCGCCACCATGAATGTATTAAAAAACATACATTTGATCTAAATAATGATATTGTAAATTCTAATCCTGTACATGTAAAATGACATTCTGACCTCATGGCTCAATTTTCAATATTCAAAGGGCAATCAATTTTAAAGTTCTGCTACTAGTTTTTAAAGCTCAAAATGACCTTAAAGCACTGCTCACATCACAGAGTGTCTGTCTGTTTATGTTCTGGTACGTAATCTAAGATCTGCGAATACTGGCCTTCTACAAAAACCCTCTGTAAAATACAGAAAACATGGAGAGACTCTTTCAGTTATTCTGCTTCTAAACTGTGGAACTCAATTCCACCTTTCATTACACAGTCAAGCTCAGTGCTCACTTTTAAGAAGCATCTAAAAATGTCTCTCTTTAACGTCTCATGGTTTTTATCTTCTAATTTGAACTGTCATTTTCTTCTGATTCTAAATAAATACTAATGATTTCTGTGTTTTATCACCTGTCTGTAAAGCATTTAGAGCTGCCACCGGCATGAAACGTGCTATAAAAATAAAAATTATTATTATCATTATTATTATTATTATTTTCTACACTAGCGGGAAGTGATGCCTTACTTGAATTCATGAATTTCCCAAAATGCCTGTGTGCTGATGGTCCACTAAAGTGATGTCACCAAAGGAAACTGCGCTTGCTGGTATTTTCCAATGCCCAAGGTCTTTAAACCAGGGGTGTCAAATGCAGCCATATTAAAAAATCTCAACAAATCTGTGGGCCAGAAAACACCTATTTTATAACATTTTTAATTAAAATTTTGCTAAAAAACTGACCATTGTTTATTCAAAATACCCAAAAACATCAACAGTAAAATACAGGCACTTGTAGTAGACCCTGAAATATTACGTGAATACTTGAAATATTCAAAATTCAATGTCCCAGGACCATGGTCTTTTAAACCTACCTATTTGCTAAAACTGGACACCTGGCAACCCTTCTTTGCTACATGTTCATTACCTGGGTTCAATTTCTGAGCTAACATTAAGTGTTTATATGGGCTGAACTGCAGTTAGTGTGTTTGGTGATATGACTGGTGTGGAACTGTGTAGAACTGCGTAAAGTTGAGGTGTAACCACTGTCCTACAGATTGTTGTTGGGCTAGGAGAGTCAGAACGAATATTACGCTGCAGTGCATGCTGGGGACTGTAGTGCAGTACATTGTGAAACAAGCTAATATTAACAGAAAATTTAAATACTTTTGCGGCCGGATAGGATTGTGTCGCATTTTAAAATAGAGTGATTTTTTTTTTTTTTTTAAATCTGCCAACCTACACGTGTCTTCTGAATTTTTATATGGACTGTTAATGATGGTAAAACAGTGGAAAATCTGAAATAATACGTTTTCTTTGGGGACTATTTTGCCTCACAATTCCTAGCATGTATCCCTCCACCATGAACATGTCTCAGGCATCAGGCAGTGAATTCACAACCATTTCATGTAGTAACTTTCTGTGAGGGAGGTGGACGTCTAGTTCCCATCACCACCACTGTGAACAGTTCTGACTCGGTCTATTTCCTCCAGAACGGAGCGTTTCACACCAAACCACTCTGAATGCCTTTAATTTACATCTCAACCACCTTATTCTTAAACAAATTACACAAATCGATGGAATTCACATTTAAAGGGCACAGTAAACACGTTACACGCAGCTAGCTAATGTTATCTGACTACACGCCGCCAGTGAAACGGAGACAAAAAGCATTTTGTTCAAGCAGTTTTGTGTTTATAACGATGACAGTGGACTAACCTGGTCGCCTGGCAAACGGTAGCTGAGCTAAGTGTGCGGAGATCGCAAATGGCTCGAATGTAAACAGTTTAAACAACAATAGCAGCCCTTAGACAGGCTTAACTAGGCTAAGCTGAGCTAACACACACGGTGTTCGGTTACGTTTGGGCTCGGTTAGCTGTCGTTAGCCTTCTTAGCCAAGGCTTCCAGTTTATCTTAATAGTTTTGTATTTTATTTTACTGTATTTTGTATTTTAATAACTGTACTGAGAGACGAGGCCTTCAATATTAACGTTAGCTGTATGAGCCTAGCTAAGGTTACAGTGGTTAACATTAGCGCACTGTGCTAACTGGCTTGGCTTAACGATAACGACAATAAAAATGGAAAATAATTTAAAAAATGAAAATAAAGTGCTTTAAAAGTATAAACACCAAAATAAAATTATAATAAACAGTAAGAATACAAGTATTAATTAACGCTAACGTTGTGCGTTTGCCAGCTTCTTGTTCGAATTTTCCCGTTCCACCTTAAATGGTGCAGCGACTACAATAACTGCTGCACCATTTAAGGTGGAACGAGAAGATTCGAATAAGAAAGTCACCTATTTAAAAGAAATTAATGAACACGAAATGACTGTCATTTCTTAACAAGCTGGCTTACGAAGAGCGGACGGCGCCGGTGGTGAAGCCGGTGAAATCACAGCATGTAGAGGCTCCGTGAAGAGGAATCCGTCGGTGTTGGCTAGCTTAGCCGTAGCTTAGCCTTAGCCTAGCTTAGCTTAGCTGCTCCGCCGCTGCGCTGCCCGGTTCTCCGCTCTCTCCGTCATCACTTCTGACAGCCAGCCGCCCGCGACACCGCCGTTACCGAGCCGCGGACCTGCGTCACCAGAATCGAGGCGAATCACGGACGGTGTTCCGATTGGCGCAGTTGGGACAGTAGTGCACTAGAAACTAGTTAGTAAGAACAGTGATGAGACTGAAACAGAAGAAAAGAAAATGAATTGTTTCTTTAAATCCTCGAATGGCAGAGATAAACAGGCAGGACAGAAGTGTAACGTTATAATGAAACGGCTGTATTTGTGTTGTAGTCATGGCGACTCCTGGTTCCTCTCACCACCACTGTAAGGAAAAGAGCCTCTACAATCAACCACTTCACACCAAACCACTCTGAATCACTACGACGGCGTTTTAGGCCCACTGTTAATAAAAAAAAGTTGACTTCGAGAATAAAGTGGTAATATTTCGAGAATAAAGTTGTAATATTTTGAGAATAAAGTCGTCATATTTCGAAAATAAAGTGGTCATATTTTGAAAATAAAGTTATATTTCGAAAATAAAGTCGTAATATTTCGAGGATAAAGTCATAATATTTGGAGGATAAAGTGGGCTAACTGTAGGGGGCTAACTGTAGGGGGCTGCCATAACGCGTTGGGGTCTCGGTTGCTGTACTGTAGGAGGGCTGCCATAACGCGTTGGGGTCCCGGTTGCTGTCCTGGCGCCGGAGCTCCACTCACTCCTGTCTCTCTGTGGATCATTTTGATCATCATTCTCACTGTCTGTGAAACTTCATGCCCTCTTTGAATGGGGGGAGATGTAGCCCCCGATAGCCGTGTAGACGACCCTGCCTGAGATTCTCCTTCAACAACACAGACAGACAGTTTCCTCCGAGTCCGTCTGGCTCTTTATTCTAGATAAACACAGTTTCCTGCTCAGCCGTTTCAGCCGGTTCTTATACTAACAACAGGCTGGTGCTGATGTGCAGGAGAGACAGGGAGACTGAGTGTTTCTTTATGGGTGAATCGATATGAAAGTGTAGCTCCACCAACTCACCGCCCCTCATTTAACACGAGGAGGGGCTGCCTTCACTTCGCAAAGCCTTTGGCCACAATATTGACCTTTCCTGGTATCAATGCCACTTTATTGTCGTAATTCTATGACTTTTTCTCGAAATAATATGATATCTTTTCTCGAAGTCCACTATTTTATTTTTACTAAGTGGCCCTAAAACCCCGTTGTAGAATCACTCTGTTTACATCTGAATGATTGAAATGATGTTAAAAATCAGCAGAACTGAAGTTTGACTATCTTAAGTGATTTGGTTGGCAAGCATGGCTAGTTAGCCAGTGTTGGACAGTAACTAACTAAATGTAATTCTGTACTTAAGTAGTTTTTTCCTGTATCTGTACTTTACTGAAGTTTTTCCATTTTTGGTGACTTTTTACTTTCACTCCACTACATTATGAGAAATCTGTCGTTCCTTTTGGTTTATGTGTGTATAAAAACGTAATGTCAAAATGAAAGAAGTGCAAAGCAAGAACACCAATCAGGGCACAGCGGTCACTTCGTTTTGAGCTCGTTTTGACCTGTTGGTCATACCGACCCAGTGCAGCACACGGTTCAACATCAGTGCAGCAGCGTAAAATTTTGGGAGAGTCTATTCAACATAAATGATGAACTAACCTAACTTTGTGTAAATAGACCACAATATAGAAATATGTACACATATGCAGTTGTGACTGACGTGTCTTTATTCTGAATTTATACAAACACATTTCATTTTATAGTAAATTAGTTTTTGCTAGTTCATGTTTATGAACAGAGACCTACAGATGCAGTTTAGTAAAGGAAACTCATTTGTGAATCTGAGTTTAAAGTTTTTATTAATCTTAAATTTGTAACTAAGCTGCAAATAAATCTTAAACTGAAACTTTGCTTGTTTGTAAAAAGTGATTTCAGAGCCACTCAGTTCTACCTGATGGAAACTGTTTGCCTTCAGTGTTTTGTGCTTATGATAATTTTAATAGACATCAGCGTCACTAATTAATGACATTCTATTAAAAGACTGGTTTACCAAGAGTGACACTGGAGTATTTTCACCTAAAATGAGTTAATGAAGCGAGTCTTGTTATAAAAATGATAACAGGACATTAAAGTCATAATTAATCTTTTAGTACTTTTACTTTCGATACTTAAGTACATTTGAAGGTAAATACTTTTGTACTTTTACTCAAGTGGAGGTCTAAAGGGAGGAACTTCTACTTTTACTGGAGTAATATTTTACCTTGGGTATCTCTACTTTAACTCAAGTACATGGTTTGTGTACTTCGTCCACCACTGTAGTTAGCTGGCTGGTGTAGCTCACTAATATAAACAAGCTGCAAAATGAATGTCAGCATCACACGGTAGCTAAGTTAACTCAGCATTTTGCACTCAGAGTCCACCTGCACTGCACTGTTTTCTGTATACACACGAAACACACCTGATTCAGCTCTAAAAGGACTTTATCAGTCGCACACTACAAACCTGGGGCTGATAAACCCAGAAGGCAGCCTGACAACACAAGGTAACTCAACACCCTTCAATGTAGTTTAAAGGGGAACTTTACAGTTTCTGCATAATTCAGTGTTTGAGATGTAAACAGAGTGATTCAGAGTGCTTTGGTGTGAAACGGTTGATTGAAGAGACTCAGATGTCTTCACAGTGGTGGTGATAGGAACCAGGGGTCATCATGTCTACAACACATTTACTATCCAAAATGATCAGTGAACCTACCTGTATCTATATATTTTTTATATTTAATGTTGATGATGGTAAAATAGTGGTAAATCCAAAGAATAAGATTTTCTTTGGAAACTATTTTGCCTCACAACACCCTGCATGTATCCCTCCACCATGAATGGATTTTAGAAATCATGTTTTGGGCCAAATCCTGATAGCAAAACTACAGTAAAACAGTGTCACGGGTAACTCGCAGCATATTCCTAACCATTTAATGTAATGACTTTCTGTGATGTAGCTTTAATGCGCTAAATGCTTCGGATGTCTGGTTCATATCACCACCATTCTGAGAAATTCTCATGCTGCAGGTTTTCAGAGTGGTTGCTAGGTGGTGGCAAGGTGGTTGCAATGGTTGCTAGATGGTGGCTAGGTGGTTGCTATGGTGTTGCTAGGTGGTGGCTAAGTGGTTGCTATAGTGTTGCTAAGTGGTTGCTAGGTGGTTGCTATGGTGTTGCTAAGTGGTAGCTAGATGGTGGCTAGGTGGTGGCTAGTTGGTTGCTTTGGTGTTGCTAAGTGGTTGCAATGGTGGTGGCTAGGTGGTTGCTATGGGGTTGCTAAGTGGTTTCTAGGTGGTTGCTAGGTGGTGGCTAGGTGGTTGCTATGGGGTTGCTAAGTGGTTGCTAGGTGGTGGCTAGGTGGTTGCTATGGCATTGCTAAGTGGTTGCTATGTGGTTGCTAGGTGGTGGCTATGGTGTTGCTAAGTGGTACTGATACCTTAAATACGATGCCACCTTAAATTCACTGCAAGAGTGACATAAAATACAATATGAAGTTAAATAAAACAAAAACAATACACACACGGTGAGATATTTAAATGACCCATATCCTACATTTTTCTTCATCTTTCTTCCCTCGATATTCACAATGGTGTGAACTGAACTTTCCTGTTTCTCGAAATAGTTTGAAGTAGTATGTAAACATTAAATGTACCATTCACCATTTAAATAAACAGCCAGTTTTGAATTCATTGTTGTTGTGATGTCATAAACAACAATACATTTTCATATATCCAGCTAGGCTACAGCTGTTTAGCTCCGCCCACTCACACTGAACTTATAAGGAGTGTTTCAGTCTGGACTGCTTTTTGAATGAGGCATAATACAGGGGAGCCAATCAGAACAGGGCTTATTTACATATATATCAGTCTTAAAAGGCACAGTAACAAAAACAGCCAGTTTAATTTTAAGGGATAAAGAGAGGCTGGAAAATGTTTTTTATGTTTGATTATCGGTTATTATGTCTGTTTTGGGTGCAAAAAGCCATAAACAAACATTATAAGTAGACCTCTGTGTGAACAATCCTGACTTGGTATGTTTCTCTAGAGCGGAGCATTTCACATGACTTGACATCTTACAGGGGAAGTCCACCAATTTTTCAAAATGTCTGGAAAATTAGTCCCTGGGATGTAAACAGAGTCATTCAGAGTGATTTGGTGTGAAATGTTCATTGTTCAGATTTCTTTACGGTGGTGGTGATAGGAACCAGGGGTCGCCATGACTACAACACAAATATAGACATTTTATGTACTATCAAATGACCAGTGAACCTACACGTTCTATTTGAGTTTGCATATGTAATGCTGATGATGGAAAAATAGAGATAAATCTGAAGAAATATTTTTTTCTTTGGGGACTATTTTACCTTAGAACACCCTTCATGTATCCCTCCACCATTAATATATTAAAATACATTGATTTAAATACATTTTAGGCCAAAGTGTTATCACAAAACTATCATAAAACAGTGTCTCAGTCATTAGGCTGAGGATTCATAACCATTTCATGTAGTAACTTTCTGTGAGGGAGCTTTCAGAGGTGGACGTCTGGTTCCTATCACCACCACTGTGAGCAATTCTGAGTTTCTCTAGAACAGAGCGTTTCACACCAAACCACTCTGAACGACTGTTTACATCTCAACCATGTAATTATGCAGAGCTTTTGAAAAATTTCCCCTTTAAATGTTGTCAGCAAATTACAAATATAAATAGAATCTACTGTAATAGATTATTAGTGCATTATGTTTTGGCATTTGTAGGCAGGAGCACATTAAGCTCAGCAGGCTGCATCTCCCACAGCAGCGTCGGGGCCTGCAGGCTCGCGAAAGGAAAAACTCCCCCATGATGGACCTGAGTCTCTGCAGGAGATACAGAGCTGTGGAGTGAAGGTCAGACCCAAAAATACACCTGTTTATTACAGGAAAACACAGCCCTCATATGCTGAGGGTGCAGTGGGGGAAACATGAACAGTTATAGGCCTGTTAGTGGCTCCTCT